GCCACCAGCCATGTGGCAAGGTATAGATTTATAGAAATGGGTTAATTTAAGATATAAGAACAGTTAGCAAGAAACCTGCCACGGCCATACAGTTTGTAAGCAAAGAAAGAAAAAAAAGAAAATACCCCTAAAACTTGCCTATGGGCCAATCTGATGGAGGCATGTTCTTAACTGTGGTTCCCTCTTCCCAGATGACTATAGCTGTATCAAGTGACAAGAAAAAAGAAGAAAAGAGTAACCAGCACAACTAACCACTTATGAAACTGACACACAACTACATCACTATTAAACCATAACTGTTTCTTTCTTGTTTATCCCAAATATCTCATGTCAGTATCACAATATAAAGTATAACTTGACTTTAAAAATCTCACAGTCTTAGAGGCGCCGAGGCTGCGGGGCCGCCCAAGAAACTAAAGATGGTGCCTGGTGGAAAAAGGCTTTCTGGGAAATCTGGTAAGCCATCATTGGTGGATCAGCCTAAAGCCTTTTATAGCTAGAGTTTTCCTGCCTTGTCCACAGTTAGGACAAATCTCTGTCACCTGCCAGTCCCACCACCGCTCAGACCCAACCAAATAAACTCAGAGACTTATATTGCTTACAAACTGTATGGCCGTGGCAGGCTTCTTGCTAACTGTTCTTATAGCTTAAATTAATCCATTTCCATAAATCTATACCTTGCCACGTGGCTTGTGGCTTACCAGTGTCTTCACATGTGGCTTGTCATGGTAGCGGCTTGCAGTTTCTCTCTGCCTCAGCGTTCGGCTTCCCAGAATTCTCCTCTCTCCTGGTCCCACCTACTTCCTGCCTGGCCACTGGCCAATCAGTGTTTTATTTATTGACCAATCAGAGCAATTTGACATACAGACCATCCCACAGCACTTCCCCTTTTCTTTTTTTAAAAAGGACGGTTTTAACTTTTATACATCTCCAAAGCCAGCTTGGTATATTTGGGAATTTGGGCGTAGCTTCTCTTACTACTTCCTGCTGGAGGGGGGCGCTGTATCTTATGGGGACATAAAGAAAGCCTTTGACTTTGAGAAAGAAGATAAAGATCTGACTGGTTCAGAGGAGGATGTTGCTGATGAAAAGACTCCAGTAATTGAAAAACATGGGAAAAAAGGATCTGGATGAATAGTTGAAGATGTGGGAAGTGAAGTACAGAATATGCTGGAAAAATTTGGAGCTGACATCAACAAAGCTCTTCTTGCCAAAAGAAAAAGAATAGAAATGTACACTAAAGCTTCTTTCAAAGCCAGTAACCAGAAAATCGAGCAAATTTGGAAAACACAACAAGAGGAAATACAAAAGCTTAACAGTGAATCTTCTCAGCAATTTTTGAGTGTGTTGCAGCAGTGGGAACTGGATATGCAGAAATTTGAGGAACAAGGAGAAAAACTAACTAATCTTTTTCGTCAGCAACAGAAGCTTTTTCAGCAGTCTAGAATTGTTCAGAGCCAGAGACTGAAAGCAATCAAACAGCTACATGAGCAGTTCATAAAGTGCTGGGATTAAAAGAGTGCACCACGAAGCCCTGCTCTCCATAGCCTTTTTAACTTGATATTGTTACTATTATATTGTTCTAGAATTCTCACCTCTGCAGTGGTTCATTATGTCTTTAATTTCTGCTATTACATTTGTTTATTTGCTGTTTGTACTATTTCACTCTCTTATCACCCTTAGGCTATTAAAACCCTCAACTGACTTCTTTCCTTCATTCCTTTCTTCGAGTCTGCCATATATTTTTCTAAAACTTCCTTCCTGAAAATGTGCCTATAGTCTCCTGTTCTAAATGTTTAGGCATTTAGGATTTCCCTTGAAATGATGCAAGCTTCACAAATTATACATGTCTATTACTCCAAACTCTCTACAAAATTGCTTTCTCTGAATCCATAGACTTACATATTTCCATGCTTCAATTATATTATTGCTATAGAATATTTCAAGTTCCCTTTTAATTAATGAAATAATGTACCTTCTGTCACTAAGTAGGAATATTTGTGCATTCCACTGTAAAGCTATAGGAGTTGCATTTCCATTCTTGTTTTTATAACTTATAAAGTAACGTTATTCTTGTCTACATAATTTTTTTCTGATTGAAACAAGCATATATTACTTTTTTAAAGTTTCTACACAGAATGTATTACACTTTACATATTAGGCAACTATTTGTTGAATGAATATTAAAAAAATTTAAACTTTTTAGCTAGGTGTTATTGCACATTCCTCTAATTCCAGTAGAGGAGAGCCCCAGGCAGGATTAGAGAGTTTGAGGTGAGCCTTGCCTATATGATGAGATATCTTGTCTAGAAAAACAAAATACTAAGGCAGAGTTCAATCTCCAGGACCACATGGCAGAAGGAGAGAACCCAGTACCCACAAGTTGTCCTCTACATATAGTGGCTCATATATGTTTGACACACATACATATACACTGAATGAATGTAAATGTAATAAACAATTCTTAAAATAATAATTTTTTATAACTTGAGAAATGACTTCATACTAAAGATATTTTATTCTCTTTTGTGAGTTCCAGTCACATTGAGTCTTAGTCACAATAAGTAGATTATACCTAAATGTTTTAAGAAACTTAACAGAATTTTTCAAAATGGTCTTATCACTGTTTCTACTGTTTCTATTCCTGGACTTTGTTTTCTTCTTTTGAGACAGGATCCTATGTTGCCCAGACTAGCCTCAAATTCTCAGTTTTCCCATCTTGTGTAGCTCCCTCCCCCATTTTTCTTTTAATCACCTTGACCTTAATATTTCATTAAACTATTGTTTGGGGCAAAGATGCTACTATTGTACTTTATATAATTGCAGTTGATTTATGTGTGATATATTTTACTTGTTTATAGCGGGAAACTTGGTCTATAGGAGTTAATTAGACTGCTGGGGTAAATAATGAGCATTATTTGAATAATTAAAAGGTTTTTAACTTTTGAAAATTTTACAATTTTGAACCTGTGATTAAAAGTTACAGTTTCTAACCAAAGTGGCCTTTTTGTGTTTTAGAGTTTGGAGGATGTGGACAAAAATAATGATAATCTATTTACTGGCACACAAAGTGAACTTAAAAAAGAAATGGCTATGTTGCAAAAAAAAGATGGCAAATGTTCGAAAGTCTCTTCAGTCCATGTTATTCTGATGAATCTTTGAAGAAAGAACTTGAACCTATGTAATATGATACAATTAAAACATTAGCTATGACATGCCTTTAGAAATTATAGTTTAAACTATAACATCCGTTATCATTAGCTTGTTTAAGTGGAAGACTTTGTAAAAAAAAAACTCACAGTCTTTAAATTTTTTAAATATTTTAAAAGTTCACTCTCCAGTGCCTGGAGAGCTATCTCAATGTTTAAGAGCACTTGCTGTTATTTCAGATGACTGGAGTGCAATTCCCAGCATCCACATGGTAGTTCACAGTAACCTGTAACTCCAGTTCCAAAGGATTCTTGTGTATATGTATGTACATGCAAGCAAACACTCATGCATATCAAAATAAACAAATATATTTTTTTATATTTCAGCCTCTTTAAAACAATCCAACATCTCTAAGGCCCAAAGCTTCTCAAATGATGACTCTTGTTAAATAAAAAAAAGTTTCATACTTCTTATTAAAAGAGGGAAGAACCAGAACACAGTCACAAGCAAATGAAAGCAAAACCAAAATGTAACAGTGCAAATAACTCAGTGTACAATATCTGGGGCTCACTCACTGATGATCTGGCCCCACAGGGCTAAGACAGTCATCACTGCAGCACACACAGCTTGCCACGTTGGTTCAGGATGGCTCCACTCTACACCTGGTGCTCTCTGTGGCATCTTCAATATTCTGGAGTCTCCACTGCAACTGACAGAGCTCCTTCACCAATCTTGGCCTTTCACAGTGCAAAACCTTAATTGCTTTCCATGAGTCCTTCAGTCCTGCAACTCTCATGCTGCCAAAACCAATGCCTTGTACAGATTACGATTAGCTGCCAGCTTGAAATGAATTCCTGGACCCCTCTGAATGACAGCTCTGTGTGTTGACACTGACAAAATATTCCTAGAAAATTGCAATTTAATGATGCTGATCTCAATCACAGCAGAATTCTCACACCCAGCTAACTAACATTGATTGTTCCAGCATAAAAAAGCACGCCTGTGGTATTGGTCTCTTGTTAATTACAGCTTATTCTTCACCCTCAGATGACCAGAAACCACAGATTGTTAATTCAAAATATCACACAAACAGTCCTGATAGAGTCTTTGCTTGCCTCTGAAACTTCACAAGCCGAGCCTCCATCATCTGCATTGCTCTCGTTCTTATCTTCAAAGTTCCCGCAGAACAGACCATTACTCTCTGAGCACTGACGGCTCTTCCAGCTCACAGTTTGAAAAACTTCCACAATCCTCCCCAAAATATGGCAAATAGCAACATCCCACCCTTACTACGAATTTCCATACTCGTTCTTTCCTTTGCTGTGAAAAACATCATGGCCAAAAACAACTTGGAGAGTAAAGGGTTTTATTTCATGTTACAGCTTATCATCATGAAGCAAAGTCAGGGCAGAAACTCGGAGGAGAAAGCTGGAGGCAGAGCCTATGGAGGATTGCTACTTATTGGCTTGCTCTTCATGGCTAACTCAGTATGCTTTCTTACATAACTCAAAACCATCTGCCCAAGGGTGGCACAACCTACAGGGGGCTGGGCCTTCCCACATCAATTATCAATTAAGAAAATGCTCCCATGGACTTGCTTACAGGACAATCTGATGGAGGAATTTTCTCCCTCTCCTCAAACGACCTTATCTTGTACCAAGTTGACAAAAAGTATTCTGTTTGCCACACTGTCTATGTATCAAAGGTCCAAGAGTAAAATATGACTAATGTTGCCAAGCACCGGTATAAAACATGTACATGACCACACAAATTTCTATTGTTCAATGCTAGATGGTAGAAAAACAAAGTGAGACAAGAGAAAATTTCAGTTTTGACTTGTATCATCCATAACATCAGCACTCACATCAGTAATGAATTGTGTTTTATGCTTAATCATGATCCACCATACACAAACTAGCTTTTTATTTTAATTCATTTGATTCAGCCATTGTTTAGTTAGCAAACTTTATGTGCTTATTATTTTATTTTTTAATTTTATTTTTTATGTGCTTATTACTTTATGCCAGGTGCTCACAGTTCAGTGAAGAAAAACAGATTCAAACATGACAAGGATGCAATCCCATATCTGTGATGTGGTGGTTTGAATAAGAATGGTCCCCACAGAATCATATATATGAATGCTTAGGGAGTGGCACTATTTGAAAGGATTAGGAAGTGTGGCCTTGTTGAGGTTGGTGTGGCCTTGCTGGAGGAAGTGTGTCACTAGGATCCAAAGAGAGAACTCTCAGGTACTTCTCCAGAACCATGTCTGTCTGCATGCCACCATGCTTCCCTCCATGATGACAATGGACTAAATCTATGAAACTGTAAGCCAGCCCCAATTAAATACTTTCTTTTGTAAGAGTTGCTATGGTCATGGTGTCTCTTCAAAACAATAGAACACTGACTAGGACAAGTACAATGATCTAAGTAGGCATAAAAAAAGCCTTTGACTCTGCATGAGATGAAAGAGAGGGAAGAAACTGTCTTGAAAGTGCATAGCACTTTTGTAGAAAAGATATGGGAAGAAGAAAGTTCTCTGTATAAGGAAACAGTATGTCTAGCCACACTGTGGTGCTCATTTGCACTCCAGTGATAGGTTTTTCCTGGTTTGAGCATTTTGTGTAGGAGTAGGAAATGATCAATGATTAAAAATGAGACTATGAAAATATAAAGAGACTTACAAACCCATAGGCAGCTATGCTTTTCAAAGCCTGTCAGAATTCAAACCACAAAAAAGCAGAACAAGTAGGGATTACATATTATTTCAGGAAATTAGTTTATACAATAGTTGGGACTAGCTAGACAAGTTCAAAGTGTATTGGGCAGTCTTGAACTCTTGGAGCACAAGCTGAAGCTGTAATCAACAGGTTGAATTCTACGCACAAACATTCTAACAGCATGAACGCCCTGATAGTATTTGCCGTGCGCTACATTATGTCCCCATTTTTCCATGCAATTCACAAAATCTTGAGGTCACATTTGTACTTTTTTTCTTCATACCTTCAAGACGTTCTTCCTACTTCTAACTTCCACCAGAAAGATATTTGTCTTGTGTAGACTCCACCACTGCTGGAAAACCTTTCACTTCCTCAGGACAGTAAACCAGAGAAGGAAGGGTCTCATGAGAAGGCCTACTATAAATATGATGAGTTAGAAATGAAAAGGAGAAGCATTGCTCAATCAATACATTGTGTGTGTGTGTGTGCGTGTGCATGTGAATTGATTCCAGACCTTTGTACACACTAAACAAATGTCTTAATCACTAAGCTACATTTATCACCCCTTAATATGTCTTTCATTTAGTTGACCACTGGGATCTCAGCTTATTTATAGACAAAATGTCTATTCTGAATCTTATTCAGATGTAATCTATACTATTTTTATACTATTGGACATTTTGTTTAAAAAAAGAAAAAGAAGCTACCGTGCACAAACAATATTTAGCAAATGATGTCACAAAGCATCTGATGTCCTCGACAATTTAGCCTGAGGTGAACTTTCCTGGAACCGGACAGCTTTGTCACCGATGCTTCCTTTGGGAAATGTTACAGTTGTGAGAAGCAACCTCTTTCCTACTAAGGGAAATTTGGTCATTAGTAAGGATTTTGCTTCTAATTAGAGGTTCAGGACCAAGGCTAACCTTTTAAAAGGAATTGAACATTGTGTAATTTCTTGAGAAGTTATTGTCACTGGAGGTGAAATAGAAAGGAAATGATTCTCATTTATTTTAGTGTTTCTAAAATACCACTGCATAGCTTTGGAAGGTTCCAGAATAGCTAAACTATGGGAGAATGGGAAAGCTCTAGATACTATTTAGAATTCACATTTAAATTAAAAATTATTCAAGTCTTTCATGTGATTTCATGTACCTCTTCTCCCTCATCATGTGGGGTTCTCAGACCACATTCCAGTTTGTTTTGTTTTGTTTTTCCATTAAAACATGTTTTCTGTATATAATGATGTTGAGGCCAGCCTGGCTACACAATGCCCAGCCTGGGCCACACAATGCCCAGTCTGAAAAAAATTAAAAACATGCTCTCCAGATATTCTAATTTGAGACACTCATTGAGAGTAATCATAAATTATAGTTCCCTGGATTAATAACAGTATGCATTATAAAGCCTGATCCTTCATTGTTGTATAGAAGACTACGATTTCTATAAAAAAGAAAAAATAACATGCTATCAATGGGCATATAAAACAAAAGAAATTCTACTGGGATGGAGATTATCTGTTTTATTTATTTTTTATTAAGAAATTTTTATTTATTCCACATACCAAACACAGATTCCTTCCTCACCCCTCCTCCTGCTCCCCCTCAGCCTTCGCTGCCAGCCCACCTTCCATTCCCTCCTCCAAAAAAGTATGGCCTTCCATGAGGAGTCAGCAAAGCCTGGCACATTCATCTGAGGCAGGTCCAAGCCCCTCCCCCTGCATCAAGGCTATACAAGGTGTCCCTTCATAGGCAATGGACTCCAAAATGCCAATTCATGCACTAGGGATAGATCCTATTCCCACTGCCAGGGACCCCTCAAACAGATCAAGCTGCACAACCATCTCACTTTTGCAGAGGACCAAGTCCAGTCCCATGCAGGCTCCACAGCTGTCGGTCCAAAGTTCATGAGGTCCCACTAGCTTGGTTCAGTTGTCTCTGTAAGTTTCCCCATCATGGTCTTGATGCCCCTTGCTCATAGAATCCCTCTTAAGTGGATACTAGATGTAAAGCAAAGGATAACCAGACTACAACCCACAGCTCCAGAGAAGCTAGATAACAAGGAGGACCCTAAGAGGGACATACAGATCACCTTGGGAAGGGGAAATAGATGAGAACTTTTGGGTAACCTGGGGGTAAGGGGCAAGTGAAGGTACAGGATAAGGGATGGTTGTGTGGGGGAATGGGATGGTTAAGCTGGAATAGGGGCAGAGTGGGAGAGCAATGAGGGAGATATCTTGATAGAGGGAGACATCATGGGGATAGGAAGAAACCTGCTGCAAGGGAAGTTCCCAGA